AATGCACTATAAAGGTTACCAAATTTCATTTTAAAGGCGATTGCAATCAGTAGGCTATGAAAGATTATCTCTTGGTATATGTTTGATTAACATAGAATAAAAGTCCTTTGTTGGTATGGGATAATTAATGTGAGACATCGTGGGAAACTACTAGGTCGAATATGACAAGGAACTGATTAATAGCAAAAAGAAAACAAAGCCATGGTTAAATTGAGTCTGCTGCCCGCAAAGGCAAGCTAAGATGAATATTCAGTGATGATTTTTAAACAATCGGTACTTCTTGAATAACAATTTTGTCAGCCCAAGTCGCGTAAGATGATTTAAGATCTGACAGTTAGAGGTAAAAAGTTTATATAAAATTCAGTGGCATCGTGAGGCTTATTTATATCACTGTGGGAAAAACTACAGAAAGTGCTTAAATCACCTTAAGCAAGTGACTCAGGCTCTTATTTGGGCATATTTTGCATAAGTAAAAAATATCATCTAAAGGACACCCAAGCATACAATGCCGAATGGGACAGACAAAAATGAAAAAAATCCAACTTACTCGAGAAAATTGATAAGAAGGCTGGCTGAGAAGGTACTCGGCACAGGCCGTGTGTCCAGCGTAAGAAGCGAAATGAAGTGGACCAAATCCACGAGCATCAAGTGGATGCAAACAGTCTAGCTGTTCTTCATGAGAAATAGACATTGGGAATCCAGGATGTCGCTGATGATTTGATGAGAATACATCAGAGGAGGTTGGATGGTTGATGGGGAAATCTCTCTTACTGGTCGTGATGACAGGTGTAAACGGGCTAAAATCGCTTCTTAGGAGGCCATTAAAGGTAGCCATGGTAGAAACAGATGTGGAAATGGTTGCTGCCGTGCCCACCAGGCTCGTGATATTTGAAGTCGGCGTATCAATGACAAGGCAAGCTGACGACTGAGGAAAAAAAGCTGGACTAGCAGATTCATTTGGCAAACGAGGCATTCGTTGGTGGTAGCGGTGCTGCTGCTGAAGTTGCAGTTGGAGTTTCAACTGAATGCCGTCAAAAACCCGTGCTAGAGTGCTCACCTGGCCACATGTTGCGGCCAAGTGGAGAGCGTGACGCCCTCGAAAGTCACATAAGCCTAAGTCGGCACCCGACTAAAGGCAGAAAAAGGTTAAAAATAGCTACAAAAGTCAACCATCATGATTCATTTGTATCGCATAGGTTGAAGATAATTCTTATACTGCCAAATAAGTGTAATAGCATGTAACTAGTACTTCATCCAGTGGCATTGAAAAGAGGGTCATTGCCATTACTAGTGCTATTGTAAAATCACTATAGTGTCTTCAGTGGTAGTGATATTTCAAGTTTATTATTAAAAACATTCCCAGATATGATGTCGAATTGAACTTGCATAATCATTAAACTTCATACTCGGGCCACTTATTACATGACTATTCAATGACTTATAATCAATCAATAATCAAATGCCGACTATGATGCCGGCGAAAAGTCTAGGAATCTACCACATCCACGGTCCGAGTTGTGAAATGATCATGCGTATAATAGACTCCGGATTAGGTGCGCTCCCCTAAGTCTTCTTACAAATATGACCAAGTTGTGAAAACAAGGTTAAACAACCTCGATAAGTAAAAAAACCTGTATTCTTAAACTCATGCAAATCTCATGGAAGAATAAGAAACA